GAATTTATCTTCGTCTTCTGTCTTATTATCTGCATCTTTGTTACACGATTTATTCAAGCTGGATCGGTTACTAGTTAGCTTTCGATCTGTTTTGGATTTATTTAAGGATTTATCAACGAAATTGTCTTCGTCTTCTGTACATCTAGAAGAATCCTGATCTATTTTAGAAAGCCTCCTTTTAGTTTTTGATTTTCGTTTTTTAAGTCGACTTTCCTTTTCTTCGCTGTCAATATTTGTCGAAAGCTCTTCATCTACAGTGGCCAATTTTTCAGTATCATAATTTGCTTGTAACGCGTCTAATCTTTCGCGTCGACTCATTAATAACACGGTGTCATCGGAATCATATTCGAAAGATTCTGCATCTTTTGCCGCCTCTATAGTTTTAGCCGCCAACCATGCTTGTTTGTCCACTAAAATGAGATCACATTCATTTTCCACTTCTGCTACTGACTGGGAGATGGATTGCACCGAGTCAGTTTTAACATCGTTGTTCTCTTTCCATTTGTCAGCGGGGATATCTTGGAATAAATCAATGCCAGCAATATCATTAGTGATTTCCATATTTTCTTGATTTTTTTTACTTGTTTCCATTTGCGAACTTTCCTTTTCTTCCTCCAAAATATCTGATGCATCTGTACTCTTCCGTTTTAAATTTTGTTTCATAATCTTTTCCGACAAAACATCTTTTGCATCTGTTTTCACGGGTGATATATCCATTGTAGATTTCTCAGACTCTTTTATTACGTCAGAAGATTGATTATCTTGAATTACTGCAACATTCGAGTTATCACGTGCGGATTTATTTATCTCCAGGATAGTATTGGAAGATTCGGGCGCTGGTTCTGTTACATATGTAGATAAACTTTCTCGTTCCTGATCGTGTTCCGAATTAAAAGTGTCGATTACTTTATTTTGAGTTAAACCTGATTGTTTATCCATTACGGTAGCCAAGTCATTAGTAGTTTCATTAACTGATGATGAAATTTGTAAAAGATCAGACTTAGAGTGTGCCGCACTTGAAACTTCATTTTCATCTCGATGTGGACTTTGTTCCTCTAACGTTAATCTTATTTCGTTATCGTCTGTACTTAAAATAAAAGAGAAGCTTTCTCTACTATCACTTATTCGTGTTGACTTAGCCGGACTCGCGGATGAAGGTGATATTTTCTCTGCTTCATTAGATTCAGTTTTGTTAGAATTTTCGTTATCTATAACAGTACATTCTTTTTTAATGATTTTATCTGGTTTATTGATTACCTTCGTTGCATTCTCATTGAAACTAATTGTATTTTCAATAGATGTTTCATTCGTATTAATAATTTTGTCAACTAATTCTATACTGTCGTCTAGCAAAACTGTTTTATCTGTAGCACTTGAATTCGAAGATTCTATAGAAATATCCATTTTTTCGCAGGAGTTATCGGCAGTTTCTTCTGACAGATCGCTGTGTTTAATTGCAATTTCTGTTGATTCTTTTGAGCGATGACACTTATTCAGGTTTTCTTTTTTCGTAGATTTACTTTCCTTCTCACTTAATTTTTTAACAAAAGGAGAAGTGAGAGATTTGATAGAAGATAATGCTATCTTGGATTGCATGCACTTTTCTACTGACTCATCATTAATAATGTTCAATATTTGATTTTCCTTGTTACTCTTTCCTTGCTCCTCGATAGAAGTATTCGATAAGTTTTCGGGCATACCAGCATCCGACTCTTTAGTCGATTCACATAAGTAGACTAATGATTTTTCTATATCTGACAGACTCTCTTTGACAATTTTGTTTTCTGCGGAATCTCGACGATTTAAAAAACTGGACGAGTTGGAAGAGCATTCTTCAACTGTATTATTATTAGATGATGGAGTTTTTTCAAATCTGTGTTGTCCCTTATCTATAACAAACATAAACATATATGAATTATAATTTGTTCCGTGTTATTTAAAATATTCTAAATTTAAGTTTTAGTTACTATAAAAGATAGTCAATATATAATTTATTAAGCAATATCAAGTGTAATAGATGTATTTTTTGAAAAGTAAATATGTAATGTCAATATCGAGAGATTTAAGACAAAGTTTTAGATTTTATTTACCAAGAGTATTTTCTATAATTTTGTCTGTTACTTTGCCCATGTCTTCAGCTTGTGATTCAGCTTTTTTCTCTGACTGTTGAAGTGTTTCTGATTTTGACGAATCAATTGAAGCATCCACTTTTTCTAACAAATAAAAAATCATAAAATATAAAACTACAAACAGAATAAGGATTTTTTTACTTTAGTTTACTCATTTGTTTTTTTTTAAATCAAAATATAAAACTACAAATAGGATACGATTATTTTATTTACTTTGGTATTTTACTATTTTGTTAATTTTACTACAGTTTGTTTTACTCACCATGGTTATAATCGTCTTCAACTTCATTCTTATCTATAGATTGACGATTTATATTCATTTTTTGTGAAATCTGTAATGCTTTATCTGGCGAAGAATCTGAATTTCCTGAATGTATTTAAAACAAAATAGATTTTTTGTACATTACATGAAAATCATGTTAATTCTAATATATCTATATCAAATATTAAGTATTAAGATCTTAAACTGATGACCAAACTCTGATAAGATCGTTTTATCAATTGAACGCAACTTGTACACGTATAATTTTTAATATATACTTGCTATTACATTAATAGCACATGCACATAAACACATGTAAATTTTCAAGTATTTTTATTTTTTCTTTTGTACTAAAGCTCCTGGGTTTATTTTAAAAGTATTGTTCTTATAAACCCTAGCCCGGACTAAGATTTTATATATACAAAGCATAAAACTTTTATGTAAAGCAAATATTGTTACAAGTCGACATCAGAATGTGTAATTTTTATTTTTGTTGTTTTTTATATAAAATTGTTTAGTTCGGACTAGACTGTCTATTTTAGCTGTTGTCTGTATTTTAATTTTAAAAAAGGATTTCCAAATCTGTAAAAGTAATACATATGAAAACTTGCAAAAATTATTGAGTTTGATAAAACAGATGATTTTAAGATCTTAAATTGGTGTATATACATAGTAATATATGACTGATATATCTTAAATAAATACATATAAAAACTCTCAATAATAGATGATAGTTTTAAGAAATTACCTGAACTCGTGATTTCATCAGCTTCAATTATTGTAGTGTTTAACCGTACATAAGGTATACGATCCTCCAATTCAATTTGCCGTTTGATCAGAGAACTCGACGGCAACATTGATGCTCGTCTGCGTGTTTTATTTGGAGAATCAGATTGTCTCTTACTTCGATCGGACAAAGATTCCGGTTCAATAGAGCTGGCTCTTGTTTTACGTGTGGTTTTAGCAGGCGACTGTGTCTCAGAGGTAGCACGTACAAGGCGCTTACTAATTTTATTAGAATAATGATTACAAACGTGCATTATTAATAAATATTTGAGTATATTAACGCATTAGCCATACCTAGCGGCTCGAGTGTTAATTTTGGTCGGTGTATCAGCACCAACCAAAAGACTTCCAGCACCCAAGCTTTGCCTTGTAACTCGTTTCCCAGGTGTTGGCGGGACTTCAACATCTATCTCACTGATTTCTGAAGAAATGGAATATTTTCTAGTACGTGATTTTTTCATTGTGTCCAAGACGGTGGTATCCATAGTTGCTGTTTGTGTTCTAGTACTTCGGTTCGTTTGATTACTGCTGATACTACTATCACTTTCAGAACCTGGCGAATTTTTATTCTGCTTTATTCTGCTGCTGCGACGTAACGGAGAATTCATAGCAGACTGTACAAGCATTCGAGTCTGCCTACGACCAGTAGCTACAACACACAAAATAACAAAAGACTAAGACTAATCAAACTGAGTCAGACATTAGAAAGGCTATGTTCGAGGGGCGTACTACCAGCGCTATTAGGCCTGTTCTTTATAGTTGAACTGGCTGCACTAGTTCAGAGTTTATCTTTCTTTTTTCCAATGTAGAAAGAGAAAGATAAACTCTAAACTAGTGCAGCAGTTCAACTACAAAGCAGAAAAAAAAACATCCTATCCTTGTTTTACCTTTAATAAGTAATAAGAATAACAATAAGATAGAATGACACAACAGTGCTAATAGTGCTTCCTGAATGTAGCTAAAGTGAAAGCATTTAAGCTCACAAGGCTGAAACAAAGAAAATAATACTCATTCTTGAATTTTAGTAACACTTGATATATTTACACATTTACATAAATAAGAGAATAATGTACTACGCTTTGGTTTTTTCATTATATAATACACATATATATATATATATTTATTCTGGTTGGGGTAATTTTTTCCGATATATTTTTTGATAAGCTTTATTAGATGTAAGTTAGCATCACTATTATTTTTATATAATTTATAATAATAATAAAGTATTAATACTCAAAAAATAAATATTGACTGCTGTCCTTGGTTGACACCACAAATGCTTTGAAGCATTTGATCGATCAATTATAACAAAGAATTTTATGAACTGACCAATAAAAAAAATGCTTGGAAGCATTTGTAGTATTAAGTGGACTATAGCCATATTTTAAATTATTAAACATAAGATCAGATAAGTTCTGTCCTATCCTTATTTATGTTCGTGTTACATACTTTATCAAACTAGGCTTACTGTGGTATTCATATATTTATTTATATTTATACATTTAAATACATAATTAAAAGAAACAGAAACAATATTTGCAGTTCTTCATTTCATTGTTTTCTTTATATATTTATAACATATTTTTCTATACAAATGATAGCGCAAAATCATTATGATCGCAAACATACAAAAACCGTAAAATGGATTTTTCAACAGAATATTGCGACTTAAAATGAATTTCAAAAGAATTGGAAAGAAAGCTCCTTGAGATACATTTTAAATTAATAAACATATGCATAAGTCACAGATTGAAATCGTTAGCAGGAGAAAACCGGAAACGGTTCCCAAATCGGCGAGAACATTCTAGCAAGAGTAGCAACAATCCCGGGAAAGAAGCAGAGATCGAAGGAGAAAAAAACGAAAGGAAAGTTGCAGCACATTCGTATTACAGCGCAATCGATGATAACGAAAAATCACAAATGCAAAATTTTCGGCGCCCAAAGAATTGGTCGTAATCGTAACCGAGCGGCGCTTTTTGCGTCTCGTGCATGCAGATCGAAAAAAAATCCAAAATGACCAAGATACGAACCTGCCTTCGGCTCGTCGTCGTCCGAATCCTTCACGGAACGCGGCATCCTTGCGATCCTTTAAATCATATATCGGATAACGGAAAATGCCCTTAATAAAATGATCTTAAACGCGGGAAAAAGGTTACCAAACCACGTGTTGTCGCTCCCCTCGCTTCAATACGAATTTGAACTTTAACAGACCAACAACCATCCGAAGTCCGAACTGCAACGAACAGCGCCGACCGTAAACGTTATAAAGAGAGGAACATGAAGCATAAAATCTGGTCGGTATTCATAAAGGTGCCTTTTCATACAGCACGCAGCAGCAGCAAAATGTTACGTGATTCAAACTTTTCAAAACCGCTTTCGCATTTGTTGTGCATGAAGAGGAATTTGCAGTAACATATTAAAATATTTAACCTTAATATAAATATATAAGTATAAATATAAATAGCGATATAATCACAAAATCCGTTCCAAGCAGGTTGACACCACGTGTCTTATGCGAGACAAAACAAAAAATAAGAAATACGTAAATTAATTGTGTTTAAAATCAATTAATTTGTTCTTCAGATAAATCCTCTAAAAGAGTTTAGGTCTGCACACAATTAAAATTGAGTTTGATAAT